AGAGGGAATTCCAAAAACAAAACAAGGTAGAAAACAAAAAAAAAAAAAAAAAAAAAAATGAGAGAGAGAGAGAGAGAGAGAGAAAAATGATCCATGAAACTGGACTTTTAACCCAGGGAAGAAGGCCTGAGCGCCCCTCCCTCCCCACTGTCATTCCAGGTCACATTAAAATCGATGCCATTCAAGCTGCGGGACCCCTTTGTGACTATTTGCACACATTTTTCCTTCTGCCTGGAATTCCCTCTGTCCTTCTGCCACCATCCTCAATTCACCTGGGAACCTGGTAGGAGGTAGAAGAGCTCATCACCACCTTTGCAATACCTTCCAGGATTCCCCGAAGGTTAGCTGCTCCTCCTTCTCCTTCCATGACACTTTAATTACATCCCCATTGCAGGGGTTGGACAAACTATAACCCGTGAGCCAAATTCAATCTACCTCTGCTTCTGTAAATAGAGTTTTACTACAACACAGCCATACCCATTGTTTATGTATTACCATGGCCGCTTTCCCACTATGATGTTAAGGTTGAGTGGCTTCCAGGGAGACTGCATGGGCTACAAAGCCTAAAATATTTACTACCTGGCCCCTTCTGTTAAGTTTGCTGGCCCCTGCCCGAATGCATCACTTCCTAATTTTGTAATTCCTCCAAGAGACTGTAAGCTGGAGGAGTTCGCAGTTCACCATTAGCCTCCAGCGTCCAAGCATAGCATCTGGAACTAGGCAGACACTCAAAACTCTAAGCCAGCTGACAGATGAATGAACAGCAAGACATATACGAATGTAGGTCCACAAAGTATGCTTTGATTGTTAAGCTTCATGCTAACTCGAGCACTGTCAACACTAGGGACATAAGTTAGGGCTGTGGTGCCCAAACCATGCACTGAGGCACCCAACCACAGAAGCAAACAAACTAGGTATTACAGTATATTTTAAATGTTCAAAGGAAAGAAAGCAACCTCTGTGCACTGCTGTCAGAACCTTTAACTCGAGGTAGTTCAGTTTCAATGCTAGGCCACGCTACATTCCTTTCACTGACTTCATGCCTTTGTGAAGGGGCGGGGAGAGTCACTGGTCACTGTGATGAAACACAAACACCATCCAAAACTCAAGGCAGAAGTGGCACTGAGGGTGGCAGCATCCAACCTGTTCTCCAAGGTTTGAGACCCCAGCAGGGTCACACGTGTGGCTTTTTAAGAATGAAATAAAAGTATTATTTTTCCTT